TTGTTGTTTATCAGGGGTGGGAGGGGAGGGGAGGGATGGCTGTTAGATAGATAGAGATAAGTATTGATTTGGGTGAAGAGAAAGACAATGTACCAAATATGAGTGACCAATATGGCAGCATTGAGGATGAGAAAGACATAGAGAAGTACATGGGAGGAACAGACAACAAATATGAACCCTTTTGTACATACAGTACTGAGTTGTCAGTGAAGGCAAGCATGGGTATATGGGTGGATAGATAGGTGGACAGGCTGAACAATTAGATATGTCTATGAAATGGGGAGTGTATCCAAGAACATACGTAGGGTTGGCAGACAATGGTCCTATAAGTTTATGTGAAGGATCAGAATTCAAGGTGTATAGTAGAGCTGACAAGGGGAGGCTTGTGGTCACTGCTTGGTCACAGCCAGCTATCCAGAAGGACCAAGTAGTTGATCCTGCGTGCTTGGGACCATAGTCGCAGGGAACATCAAGCTCAATTGGCATAATATATTATACAAAACATTGTTCTATCTCCTACTTTGGTGAGTAGCGACTGGGATCTTAAAAGCTAGCAAGCTGCCATCTAGGTGCAACGATGGGTCTCTCCTCATCCAGAGCAAAGAAGAATGAAGAAAACCAAAATTTATGGAAACAATTAGTCCTAGCGACTGGTATACCATGCAATCTTCAGCCTATACAACTATGAGACCAGAAGAACAAGATGGTGCCCAGCTACCACTGTCATCCACTTGGAAGGGGATCTATGTAGGAGATCCTTGATAAAGAGGGAGACAATGTGGAAAGAAACTCAAAATCAGTTGGAGTAAAAAAAGATGGGGACCAGATTTGCTGGTCTGATAGAGTCTGGTGGAACCATTGAGACTATGGCCCCTAGCTGCTCTTCAGGTTTGGTATTGACCGCAAGTCTGTGGTTTCCAGCCAAACAGAAGACAGACATATGAGTTGAACATTTACCTGAGATAGATACACTCCTTGGTGAGAATAATCATTGATAAAGAAGGGCTGTGTATGCACCAGGAGACAGTTCAGGGGGCAAGAGTCCATGGAGGGATGGACACTGGGAAGAGCTAACTATGGGGAGGAAGTGGTAGGGGAGCTGTTGCATTGTGGTAAACTGTGGTCAATGTCATGAGACAAAGTATATGTAAACTACTGTATGGAAAGTGAATTAATTTGCTCTGTAAACTTTCACCCAAATCACAATTAAAAAAAAAATATATTAGGGAGGAAAAAAAAAAAAAAAAGAAGTCCCAGAGATCAAAGATGAAAAGAGAGAGGAAAGCCACAGTGCCCAGGGGAAATGTCCTTTGGAGCCAACAAAAGTTTCAAAATTAAAACCAACTATGGTTTTAATAAAATGTCCAGTAGAAAGCAAAACTTATGTTTTAGGTCTACACAAGTGAAGTGTAGACACAGGTCCCTTAGTAATGTCCTTAATGTTGAATTATTTCCTATATTATAGGAAATCCAGAGAATTAGCATGAAAGATTACAATCTGTATATTTTTGTGAAAAATGAAAAGACAATAATAAGAAAGTGAATTTCCAACTTAGGTTTAGTGTGACATTTAGTCTATCTGCATAATGCAGGAACTAAAATACAAGATGATAAATTTATATTAAAATGATTTATAGCTATTATCACAGGAAGATGGCTTGAAAGATATAAAAATTACAACACAGTGCCTAAGGCATTTGACTGCTAACCACAAGGTCGGCGGTTCAAACCCACCAGCCACTTGCAGAAGGAAGATGGAGCAATCTACTTGTGTAAAGATTTGTCCCTTCAGCGGCTGGGGGCTTCTGTCTCTTCCATCGCTCCCCCGCCATGTCGGTCACCGTCAAGTGGGAGTTTGAGGAGCTGGATGCCCAGAATCGCTGGCAGCAGCTGTACTTGGAAATTCAAAATGAATCCCATGACTATCCTCATAGAGTGGCCAAGTTTCCAGAAAACAGAAATCGAAACAGATTCAGAGATGTGAGTCCATATGATCACAGTCGTGTTAAACTGCAAAATACTGAAAATGATTATATCAATGCTAGTTTGGTTGACATAGAAGAGTCACAAAGGAGTTACATCTTAACCCAGGGGCCTCTTCCTAATACATGTTGTCATTTCTGGCTCATGGTTTGGCAGGAAAAGACCAAAGCAGTAGTCATGCTAAACTGAGTTGTAGAGAAAGAATCGGTTAAATGTGCACAGTATTGGCCAACAAAAGATGACCAAGAGATGATGTTTAAAGAAACAGGATTCAGTGTGAAGTTCTTATCAGAAGATGTGAAATCATACTATACAGTACATCTACTACAATTAGAAAATATCAATAGTGGTGAAACCAGAAAAATATCTCATTTTCATTATACCACCTGGACAGATTTTTGGGTCCCTGAATCACCAGCTTCATTTCTCAATTTCTTATTTAAAGTAAGAGAATCTGGCTCCTTGAACCCTGAGCATGGGCCCATGGTGGTTCACTGCAGTGCTGGCATCGGGTGATCTGGCACCTTTTCCTTAGTAGACACCTGTCTTATTTTGATGGAAAAAGGAAATGATATTAACATTAAGCAAGTGGTGCTGAATATGAGAAAATACCGAATGGGACTTATTCAGACACCAGATCAACTCAGATTCTCATATATGGCTATAATAGAAGGAGCGAAGTTTATAAAGGGAGATTCAAATATACAGAAACAGTGGAAAGAACTTTCTAAGGAAGATTTATCTCCTGCTTTTGATCATTCCCCAGCCAAAATAATGACTGAAAAATACAATGGGAACAGAATAGGCTTAGAAGAAGAAAAACTTACAGGTGGCAGGTGTACAGGACTGTCGTCTAAAATGCAAGATTCTGTAGAGGAAAAGAGTGAGAGTGTTCTACGGAAACGTATTTGAGAGGACAGAAAAGCTACCACAGCTCAGAAGGTGCAACAGATGAAACAGTCTAAATGAGACTGAACGAAAAAGGAAAAGGTGGTTATATTGGCAACCTAGTCTCACTAAGATGGGGTTTGTGTCAGTCCTTTTGGCTGGCACTTTTATTGGCTGGGCACTGTTTTTTCAACAAAATGTCCTATAAATAATTAATTTTTGCCCAGCAAACTTCTGCACTAATAGCTGAGAGTGTTTCATTAATTACAAGGGTTTATCTGTTAACAACAAACTCCTCATACCCCAAAAGTGGTGCAGTAGACTAGACATCAACCAGATAAGTAATATGTACCAGTCACAATCCCAACATCTCAGGACTCTTCACTGAACATTCCTCTGAAAGCCAAGTTGTAAACAGCTATATAAAATAAAGACATTAATGTGTGTGCAAAATTAGTACATCTTGGAACTGTATTCATACATGTTAAATGTGGCATTTCACCTGACCAGATTGAAAAATCCTTTGTCACAAGGATTTGTTTTTGGAGGCTATCTGTTTTTTTTTTTTTTTTTTTTTAACATGAATTTAATATAAGCAACAAATATTTGTGGTTTTATCTGTGTTATTAATGGAAAGAAAATGACCTTTAAATAATGTGTGTAATGTGTAATGTACTCATGACGTGAACATCTACATTTTATATTCTTAGTCATTTCAGGATAAATATATTTTATAACTACCTATTTGATCTTACTTTTGTAGTTAATGTACTTTTTTAAAAGCCCAATTTGAAAAATCTGTTACCATAAAATAATAAAGTGTATGTTGGTTTAAAAAAAAAAAAAAAAAGATTTGCCCCTTCAGAAATCCAATGGGGGTTGCTATGAATCAGAATTAGCTCAATGGCAGTGGGCTGGGTTTGGCTCATTAATACAAACTTTTCTAAGGTTTTTTTTTTTTTTTTTTCCCCTCCTCTTCTCTCAATAACATTCAGCCCCTAGAGTTATAGTCCAACAATGTGTCCCTAAAGATTCCATTGGTACTTGATTCATATCAGAGGTGCTCTTCTTTGGAAAAGGCTTGAAATCTCTTAGAATTTAGATTGTATAATTGGTTAAATCTTTATATCCTAACATGAAATGTTCTAGTTGAAAGTAAGAGAAAGTAGAGAGAAAATAAATAAATAAACAGAGAGAAGTGAAGGTGTGAGCTCTGTGTAAGCTGATGAGACCATGAGATAGATATGCCTGATATGTATGAGAAAAAAAGCAAAGAGTCAATGTGGTTATGAAGAATTACTATGAAGAATTAGAGGAAGGAACAATAAGATGTAAGGCTAAAGATCTTGTAGACTTTTGTAGATCATCAGTAACACATGGACTTTTTGACTGCTAACCAGAAGGCTGGTGGTGCAAACCCACCAGCCACTTCTTGGAAGGAAGACTGAGCAATCTACTTCTGTAGATGTACAGCCTTGGAAACCTAAAGGGGAGTTGTTATGAGTCAAATCAACTCAACAGCAGTGAGTTTTGTGTTTTTTTTTAAGACAGAATGCTAAAAGTTTTCTGAGCTTAGGAGTATTATGATCTTCCTCATGTTTTACCAGGCTAATTTCAGCATAGTGGCTAAAGCACTTGACTGCTAACCAGAAGGCCGGCGGTTCAAAACCACCAGCCACTCCTTGGAAGGAAGGTTGGGCAATCCTACTTCCGTAGTGATACTGCCTTGGAAACCCAAGGAGGGGTCGCTTTGAGTCGGGGCTGACTCGACGGCACATAACAACAACAACAACAAAAGAAGAACAAGATCAAGGTCAGGAGCCAACAATAGAATAGATCATCAATTGCTCATATACAGGTTTAAGTTGAAACTGAAGAATATTTAAATAAGTCAAGGAGAAAGAAACTACAACCTCAAATATATCACACCTGAATTTAGAGATCATCTGAAAAGTAGATTTGATGCATTGAACACCAATGGACAAAGTCAAGATGAATTGTGGCAAGACATTAAAGATATCACAAATGAAGAAATCAAAAGGTCATTATAAAGACAGGAAGGGAAGAAAAGACTAAAATGAATATTAAAATGGACTCTGAAATTTGCTAAAATTGTTTTGATCTTAGGAGTGTTATGATCTGAGTTATGTTTTACCAGGCTAATTTCATTTATTGTTATCATAGTACAAAAGATGAATAAGAACAAGACTAGGTGCTACAGGGAGTGGGTAAAGTGAACTGAAGAAATAATGATGTAAAATAGCCGAAAAGAGTATGTCAAAGGGCAGCTCCAGGAGACAAAGTAGAGTATTATAATAAAATGTGTTAAGAACTGGAATTAGAAAATCAAAAAGAAGAACACATTCTCATTTCTCAAACTGAAAGAATTGAAGAAAAAATTTAATCCTTGAGTTGCAATACTGAAGATTCTGTGAACAAAATATTGAATGATGCCAAAAAAAAAAAAAAATGCATAAAAAAAGATGGAAGGAAGACACAGAGCCACTGTACCAAAAAGAATTGTTTGATGTTCAAGCATTTCAGCAGGTAGTATGTAATCAAGACCTGATGGTATTGGAGGAAGAAGTCCAAGCAGCACTGAGGGTATCAGTGAAAAACAAGGCTTCAGGAATTGAGAGAATGTCAATTGAGATGTTTCAACAAACATATGCAACACTGAGAGTTCTCACTTGTTTCTGACAACTGAGTGGAAGAGATCCATATCTGAGACCATTCCAAAGAAAGATGATCCAATAGAAGGTAGAAATTATCTAAAACTATCATTAATATTACAAGCAAATAAAATTTTGTGGAAAATAATTTAGAAAATTGCAGGAGCACATTGACAAGGACCTGCCAGTGATTCAAATCAGATCAGAGGAAGATGTGGAATAAAGTATATCATTACTGATGTCAGATGGATCTTGACTGAAAGCCAAGAATACTAGAAACATGTTTACCTGTGTTTTATTGACAAGTGAAGGCATTTGACTGTGTAGTTAATAACAAATTATGCAAAACAATTGTCAAGAACAGGAATTCCAGAACACTTAATTGTGCTTATGAGGAAATTGTACATAGAAAAAAGATGCTTTCATTTGAATGGAATAATAGAATAATAGGACACTGCACAGTTCAAAAACAGGAAAGGTGGGTGTCAGGGTTGTACACTTTCACTGTATGTAATCAACCGGTATGGCGAGCAAATAATATGAGAACCTGGACTACAGGAAAAACAATACAGTATCTGGATTGCAGGAAGACTCATTTATAATCTGCAATATTCAAATGATACAACCTTGTTTGCTGACAGTGAAGAAGATTTGAAGCCCTTACTGTTGGAAATCAAAGAATACATCCTTCAGTATGGATAACATAAAGAGAAGAAAAGAAATCTCAACATAAAGAAAAGAAAAATTCTCACAACTGGACCAATAAGCAACATCATGATAAATGGAGAAAAGATTGAAGCTGTTAAGGATTTCATTTTATTCAGATTCATAATCAATGTCCATGCAAGCAGCAGTCAAGAAATCAAATTGTATCACAGTGGTCAAATATGCTGCAAAAGACATCTTTAAAGTGTTAAAGAACAAAGATGTTGCTTTGAAGACTATGTCAGGCCTGACCCAAGTCATGGTATTTTCAATTGCATCATGCATGTGAAAGCAAGACAATGAATAAGGAAGATCACAGAAGCATGGATGCATTTGAATTTTGGTGTTGGTGAAGGACATTGGATATACCAGGGACTTCACAAAGACAAACCAATCTGTCTTGGGGAAAGAATAGCCAGAATTCTCCTTAGAAGCACAGATGGTGAGACTTTGTCTCTCATAATTCAGTCATGTTAGCAGGAGGGACCATTTCATCTAGAAGGATGGTAAAGTGAAGGGTCAGTGAAATAGAAGGAACACCCTCAATAGGATGGGTGGATGCAGTGGCTACAACAATGGGCTGACATATAGCAAGAATTGTGAGGATGGTGAAGGACCAGGCAGTATTTTTTTTTTTTCTTTTTGCCTAGGGTTGCTGTGAGTTGGAACCAACTCAGTAGCATCTAACAACATCAATGAAAGATGAAATGTACAGAAAGTACAGAAAAGTACAGAAAGATAAAAGTATGGAAAGAGTAAAAATGAAAATGACATTAGCCAGCTTGGTAACTGTGGAAGTGGCAAGAAGTCATCAGATTCCCTTCTGTAGGCATAGAAACAGTAAGTTTCCATTTGGCTACTAACTAGAAGGCTGGTTAAAAGGTGGCTGGTTAGAATACTTTAGGCACAGATTGTATTTTGATTTTGAGAGAAATTTGGAGGTAAGTCCAAGGTTCCAGACTGGAGTTAGTTCAGGACAGAGAGGGAGGATTTGTAGAGTTTAGCAAGAAGAGAAAAGAAGCAGTAAGTGAAGAGAAAAGTGGTTATCAGTAAGAGTATATTCAAAATAGAAGGACTAAAATCTTTGTTGTATATTGGTGGAAAATACTTGACAGAGAGAGGGGAAAAAACAAGATAAAACCAAAAGTGTGAGGTGAGAATGAGAGGAGAGAATTGCTAAAGTACTTTCCTGATAGAAATGTGGCCTAGAGCATTCTGGAATGTAAGTTTTAGAATTGCTTCATTAAATCTTACATATCCAACATCTGGTATAGTGCCTGTTTAATATTAAGCACTCAGTAAATTTTAGATGAGTGGATGAATAAACTCTGTATCTGATGATTAATCAGATGCCATGATCTGATATACCTCAGTGCAATCAGAAGCACTGAACCTAGAATCAGTAAAAAAATGGTTTCAGTTGAAGTTACACCTCAATCCTTTCATACTATTAGTTTAAAACTAATATATTCTCTTGGCCTCAACATCTCCTTTGTAGTTTTGTTTTATTTTTTAATAATGTTTAGCAAAACAAACAAAAAAAAAACCTCACTGGCATTGAGTTGATTGCAATTCATAGCAACCCCTCCTTGGGTTCCCAAAGCAGTATCTCTATGGTAGTAGATGCCCAGTCTTCCTTGCAAGGAGTGGCTGGTGGATTTAAACTGCCAGTCTTCTGGTTAGCAGTCAAATACTTTAGGAACTATTTAACAAGTGTGTGTGTGTGTACATATATATATATATGTACATATATGCATGCATATATTATATATATACACACACACACATATATAGACATTATCCCATTGCCATCAAGTCAATTCCAACTTAT